ATTTCTCGCAAATTAAAGCTCAATCTCAAAAACTAACAACACAAACATTTAGATGAATGGTTCCTCTATCATTTGTTCACGAGATTGTTCTTTTATTCGCGAGAAATCAGCGATTGACATGTTTGTTTACAAAAAACAATTACGCCCAAATATCAAAGTTCTCCGGATATGACGCAAACATCTAAACAGGCAAGCATTGTATTTGCCGTAAAAATTATTATGCAGATTCCTACAGTGATGCAAGGATGCGTGGACATACCGTACCAAATGCTCCGAGTTATATCAATAAGATTGTTGTAATATGTCATACAATTGGTATAGATAATGTTAAACACAACAATAATGGAAAGGTCTCACCACATGTCTCCTATTATAGTCATAATTGCATCCTCTCGATTGCAAGCTGATATCGGAACTCCACAACACGTGTAACAGCACGATTGCGGTTCTGCACATACTCCAAAAGTACATAGAACATTTTCTGACCATCTAACGCACCAACATAAACATGGTGAAAATCTGTTCCGCTCTTTCAGAAGAAAATAGTACACCTCCGAAGGATGATAAGACATTGGAAACTCGAACTCCAATTCCGTTGAAAATACACCTGTAGTTATCCTTATTTAGGCCATAAAATACTGCACTCTCGAGCTTTTCTAGAAATACTTTATATAAGTGGCAGAGAGCCTTATGTACATACCTTTCGAAGCACACTTCGATCATCTGACATTGGTTTGTTATTGTGAAGCTCAATAGCTCTATTATGCCAATAACACACTTTGCGATTACTCAGTTGCTAGCCCGTAGGTTTTCTGATATTATTTTTGATATATTACCTCTTGTATCTATCAAACCAATAGCAAAAACAGTTTTTTCGATTTCCTATTTTTGATATCAAAATTTGCTATTGGTTAGATATTTTATTATACTCGAGCCCGGGTATCGAGGGGAATAGCTAATTAATATCAAATTTCACTATCAATTTCAATATCTTATTATGTTATTGGTAAGTTGTGCGATATAACAAGTTAATAACTTATTCTGCTATCAAAGCATAATTTGATATTGTTATGATACTATGGTATTATGAATTCTAGCGCTTATTTTTGTTCTGATAGCAGAATAAGCTATCAACATGTCATTATATTTATAAATTAAAAAAAAAAAATAGACCAAAGGCTTTGATGATATATAATAGCAAAATGAGATATTAGTTTGCTATGATTTCAGCTATTCTTTAGATATGGCAACAACTGATTTTGCTATTACTCAGTTATGGTCGCAAAGATTTGTTGATATTATTTATATTTGTTTTATTTTTTATTTTTTACCTCTTATATCAATCAAGCAAATAGCATTTTTGATATTTTGTTTTGAGTAAAACTAGCTATTGATTTGATATTCACGTAGACTCGGGTACGATGGGTTAAGCACATCGTAAGAGTGTCTGACAACAACCCTATGGAAATGGTTCTTGAAAACGACCCACTGGAACTGCAGACGAAAAAATGCACAGGGGGTAAGGAGGTTTGACTAGGTAGAAGGGCGACATACTGACCCAATATACCAAAAGTTATGATAAAAGGCTATTTGTAGCTTGGTTGAAGGTGGTCTATAGAATCTAAAAGCAGCCTTATTTTTAAGTCGTTATAAGAACTTGAAAGTTTTTTTTTCTTCCTCTATTAACTAAAGTTCCGGTACCATAATTGAAGAGCATTCTTAGCAGCTTCTGGTGGAACTTGAACGGAGCTTTTAGAAAATAAGTTTAAAAAAAGGTTTTTGTCTTCTACACCAATTTTATACTTCGTTCGCACCTTTATTAAATTTATTTCTAAAGTCAGGTCTTTATGAACGTTATTTTTAAAGGCTATGGTATGAACGTGTATTTATTTATCAGCATTAGTAGTAGTTTTGGAGCTGTTTGAAGAATTAAACCCAGTCTTTCTGCGTGAGAGCCCCAGAACGAACCGCTGCGCCATCTGACTGCTGCAGGACCAAGTGGCACGCCGTCCAAGGCGACAATGAGCAAAAGCACGACAGCAGCGCTGTTTTATAGCTTTTCAGGTTCAAGCAGACCGATGTGCAACCAAACCTGATAGGATTTCCCACCGTTTTTTATGAATGGGGCGGAGCAGAAAGTTTTTTTTGTGCAGAATATGTAAAATAGGATGGACTTTGGATGTTAATGTAATTGCATATATAGAGGTACCAGATATGTTTTACAGTCAGTTGTTGGTAATCCATCGAGTGTATGTCTCCTGTTAAGCAATGGTTTTTTGAAAATGTCGGCTCTGCATGTAAAAAATTAATTGTTTATACATAATTGTGGTTTGCTTAAAAATCATTTCCCGGAAAAAAAAATGATCGTCGAAGTCCATGTCTTTTTCGGGTTATTGATAAGGGGGGAGGGGAAGAGGTTGTTAAGGGGGAGGGGGTTTTACATGCACGTTTTTTCACGTCTCATTCCTCATTGTGGCGGACACGCCGTGATCCACCTTTAGCCGCTGACTTAGTCCTGCTTGCTGCAGGACCTAGTGCCACGCCGTCCGAAGCGGAAATGAGCAGAGACAGGAGAGCAGTGCTGATTTATATCTTTTCAGGTTCAAGCAGAATGATGTGCAACCAAGTGGTATTCGTTTATGATGGCTGGGTTTGGGAAAAAGGCTGATTTCATGAAAACAGTGATAACATTATCATTTGTACATTTTCAGAATTATTTTTGAATTTTAATTTCATCTATAAATGACAAAGTTACAAGCGTTCAAAACCTAACACTTCTTCACCACACACATTTTTTGATTTACACCCCAGTATAGTCGACAAAGACGTAGTTCTACGTCAAAAATGGAAATGACACATTTTCAAGATTTTTAGACTTGAAAAAACAAATTTGAGTTCTCGGACTTGTAGTTATATTTCAGGGCCTAAAACAATCTTAGCTTTTTTGAAGAAAAAAAACTGCTCATTCCGTTACCGATCTTCTAGTCACAAATTTGTTCAATACAATCACACTTACTTTATTTATTCTTCTATTAATTGCTGGTTATTCTAGTTTTCAGACCAGCAAATGCTCTTCGCATTTTTTTATTTTTTTTTTTTATTATAGTCACACTCAAGAGTGTTAGGGTCATTCGTGACTTGTCCGGGGGTGAGATTTGAACTCGTGACTTTGGCGTGAGAGGTACCACTACGTAACCCGCGCTCTTCACAAGTGTGTTTGATCTTCCATTATGATTTCTGAACAATATTGCGTTATAGATGACATTTTCATTTCAATATGTATCCCTTTTTTGAACATGTGCCTATTAAAAAGCGAAAAACTTTAAAAATTAACCAAATCTAATAACTGAAAAAGTAAAATTAAATTTGTTATGAGAGGAAATATAAAGAACGAGGAAAAACCTTAGGCACGATGTAGATGAAGAATATTCCACATGAACCGATTGAGCTGATGTCCTAAAGCTTACTTGAAATTGAAGAGAATTGAATGTGACTGGAATTTTCAGTAAAAGCCACGATGGGCTTTTGAACCTTGTTGGATTGTCAATTCGGTACGACATTTGAAATGATAACCAAATTGCGCCAAGCGCAATGGCACATTAAATAAACTTCCTGGGTGCTAGATAAAATCGAAATCTTAAGGTACATTCATATTTCGTAACATTACTCTTCAGATACAACATGATGCTCACCTATCCCACCTTCCTGTTTAACCTCAACTTCCGTTGCCTTCAAATTTATCACATTCCGTCACCTTAATGATTGCTGTCATGATTTTCTCCATCATTTGCCACTCCTCACTTGCCATAAACATCGTACCCATCACAACAACAAGAACAATGACAGCAGTAACGACGAGAACCAGCACGGGGAAGACGTTCTTGCTCTCTTGCACTGGTCCCGTTGCCCAAATGCAAACGAGACCTATATGTAGACCCCTGGTTCTTCGCCGGCTGGAATCTTAAATGGATTATTTATGATGCCAGACAGAAGAAATCTTATCCAAAACTCATCCTCCACCGGCTTTTATGCTAGGGAGTACACCACTTTAAGGTGCAAGCGTTAGGGTGCTCCAGCTGGGAGTGGGAGTACCTTCGGTTAGTAATGTAAGATATCGTCTGAATCACCCTAATGTGCACATATAAGTAAGTGAAGTCTGTACCAGGAAATCGCTTGGTCCCCGCCGCTTTTCGTAGGAATGTGCGTGTGTGTGCGAGTCTGCCGCCTCTTATCTCGTCGATGACAAATGGCTTCAAAGTTCAAGTGTTTTCCTCCTTTTTCCTCGAAGAATCTTCCGTGCAGTTGGCGCAAAAAAAGGGTTCCTTACTCCATTCCAAGCAACAAAGCGAGGGTGTTCACGGTAATGAAATCCAGTCTAAGAGCCACGCATAAATCCTCGAACAAATAGGAATAAAAATGCATATCACCCAGCCCGGGCAGATATCGATTACATCACCCACCGGCACACAACTACCACAGGGGAGCGATCGATGTGACTAATGTGCAGAAGTGGAAATCCTGAAGTGTTGCGCTGTGTCTGAAGTGTGTGTGCTGGGCTAGTATTTCCAGTTTCTTCCTCCATTCACCCGATCTGATCGGATGGATGTGTCCTCGGAGATATGTATGAGCGGTTAAAGTTTTTCTGTCGATAAATTTGTATCAGACACACTTCCCCCTGTCCCGAATTAGGTATGGAAAATAGCAGAAATAGCTTTTTCGGCAGCTGTGAAAATCAATGCAGCGTTAAAAATGTACGTGTTTGTGTGTGCGAGTGTGCGAAGGGATCAAAGGATTTTCGAACGGAATGCTCTCCGGGACGTGGAGCCAGAGATTGTTGTGTATTTTTATATATGACAAGAATTTGGGGTTACGAATGGGATTATAACCGGCAAGCGTGTCACAGGTTGAGAAAATTAAATTTGTTTGGGATTTCGAGTGTTTGTGTTCCTCGTCTTCTGAGAAGGGTACTTTGACGAGGGACCAAAATCGTTTGAACTTACCTGCTACTGGGGATAGTTTCCGCATAACACACCATCGCGATTTCCACTAAAAGAGGAAGAAATGATGTCGTTAGTAAAATGAAGTCTGATGCTGCCATTTGACCCAATCTGCCGACGATGGAGATGATATTTCAATGGTGATATGTTTGGAAAATTAGCATTTTCGATCAGTGTAATAGAATTTTCTGCGATGACATTTTTGTTGCAATTTTAAAACCTTGTATGAAATAATGGCACTGAGATTACAGGTATACGGTTGTTTTTATGGGTAGAATTGCCATCTTAAAATTATCGACGTAAGTGGTTGCGGTACAAGCACATATCGTCGGTAATAGACGATTGTTGTGTATTGAGAACGCTTGCGCAAAAAGACTAAGGGAGGGAAACGGATTCGAAACTCATATGTCATTAGCCAAATACATCCGTAGACCATAGGTCCACCGTTGTATAATTGGCAATGCACCCGTGTACTGAATGGGAATTGTGGGTTCGAATCCCACCGGTGCCCTTCGATTTTTTCGCAAATTTTCTCCCACGCACGTCTCTTGCCGATGATATGTGCTAACCTCTCAGTATCTTCTAACTGTCGCATATAACAAATAAAAATTGACTTTCAGTCGCTAACCTAAATCGACATAAGTTAAAAAAAAATAAAAAAAAAATCTATGAGCTCTGACGTATATTTATATAGCCAAGCCTTGCTTATAGCCCTAATGAAAAAAAAAAAATCTCAAAATTTATAGATGGATCAAGAAGAAGTAGTTCTAGTTGACTTGTGCATCAACCCAAAGATCTCAGAGACTTATTTCCGAAACCTGGACTGGATTTGATTTAATTTCATTTAATATGTTGGGATACACTATTGAAATAAGGATGAAATGGGACTTGAAATAAGAGCCCTCTGAACTGTTGAGCTTCTTGGATACATCTTTATGTTACGAGCCCTTATAGAGAATAACCTTAATGTTTGAGGAATACAACTTGGTAGTGTGAGATTGACTTCTATTTTATCGTTGATATGAATTGCTTAAGTGAAGCAGAACCATCCACGGTAATAGATAGATAGATAACAAATTCATCCGAATCCAATAAATTTACCCCATGATCAGCAGTAAAGCAATTTTTCGCCAATTTTGACACTTCAAAACCCAGACAACCACAACACAGTGTTATGCGAACCACATTCATTCCAATTTCTCCAAATTCCTAAACCCTCACCATGCGGTCGGCCGAATAATAAGCTACGAAAAAAAACCTGTTTTGCCGTTGGCGTTCTAACATTTAGCAAAAAAAAAATAACGGAAAATCCCTGCACATGTTTATAACCGAACGTGATTTGCATAAAAATGTGTTATGAAAATCAATTTCACTCCCCGCAGCCACTTCCCCGAACCCTAACAGACAAATGGTTTTCCATAAAGGCTCAGCAGCCGAAAATCCTCCGACCATGCCAGCCGCTCGCTCAGTTCATAACAATATTGATTCTTTCGTGGCGTTCGCTAACTTTTGCCACACGCTTTTGGATTGGCAGTTATCTAGCAAAGAAAACCTTCGTGCCATCAATCTGGTGCTAGCATCGCTTAACCTCACCGGAAGCTAGATCTTTTTGGCAGCTCTTCCTGTGTAAGTGTGCTCTACCCGATCGATTCCATGCGAAAGGATTCCGACTTGTCTCAATTTTGATTTTGCTGTTGCGTCCGCTTGCTAGCCTAACCCCCACCCCCACCTCTCTTTCTCAATCCATGTGCTTACACCAAAAAGCACAAAAGAAACGAGATGATCAAATTATGCAAATTACGATGCCTGTTCAATATTCTAGGAAAAAGTTTTAACGGCGGTCGGCTCCGGACCAGCCCTGCCTGTGTGAGTTCTTCCGGTCCGGAAAGTGGCCCAGCGAATGATTTGCAAGAAATGTTATAATCTGACTAAGCCGTTTTTTACACTTTCCAATTTGAAAGTTGTTTGCTGGGCCCCATTAGGATGAGAAGGCTGTTCCTCACTCAGTGTTGTAGTTATTGCCGAGGTATTGGGGCTCCTCCCTTGGTATGAGAGGTTTTAAATGCAGGTTCCGCAACCGCAGAAACGTTTCGAAGCAGGAAGAAAAAATAAAGTCATCAAGCGATAAGGGAAGCAAGCTCACATTGTTGTCAGCAGGCTACGATCAATAACGTAGGCAATGAGGAGGCTGGGGGAAAAGATTGGCTCTGACTTGTGAAGCAGAAAAAAAAATGAGAAGGGAAAAGTTCTAAGGCAGTATGAAGGTACCAATGAGTAAATGAGCCCTACAGACAGGCAAACGCTGCAAGAATGAGAAGGATAAAAAGAAAAACCAGGCATCATAATATCACATTTCAAAAGAGATAGGGAGTTGTGTGCAACAGTTCTTAAGGAGATCACCTAGCCGGCGAATGAAAGACTAAGTGTTGAATAAAAAGAACCGAATCTGCAAGGCCACGAACAGATTTTGTAATGTGATGGCCAATACACTTTTCAAATTATTGTGTAAAATTAATCACAGCTAATTTCATGAAGTAAGTAGGGGAAATAAGGTATAAGTCAATCTAAGCAGCGTCCGCACTTCTATTGCCAATTTATCAGCGTCATGCACACATATGACGTGTTTGTTTGCATTTATGTGCTGCTTGCTATTCTACTCATTTCAATCGACAGAACTGTCCAACACGGGTTGAAAACGTTTTTACAACGCTCCAAACTACTCAGGTGAGTGTGACTATTGTCGGCAGCCACTTTTTCTTCGGCAACCTTTTTCATTTGAACTGCTTATTAACGAGCTTTTCTATTATTGACAACTCGAAATCAGCCGTATTTAGTAGTGCGTATGTTTCATTTGGGGACAAATCAGGCATAACAAAATAATCCGAATAAAACGTTATAAGATTGAAGCTGAAAGACTAATGCCCCGCTCAGACTAAGGCTCATATCATGTAGGGGAGAACAGTACATAACGCACCCCCGGGGTAAGTCGCACTTTTTCATTTAATTTTGAGTTTTGCTTGGAATTTTTAATCCAATTCTAGGATTTATCATGCAGGATTTTGAGTTCAGATGCTATGCTAGAAGTGCTGCTTGATAAGACAAAAAAAAAAGTTACGTAAAAGCCATGAAAAACACAAATGAAAGTCAGCTGGTGCGTTCTGCCCAGGGGATGCGTTGTATACCATTCTCCCCTAATATAGGCTGTCTTGCAATGAGCACTCATAGGATTACATAGGATTTTCAGTGAAAACTGCATTGGCGTAGCTAGAAAATTTATCTGGAGAGGGCCTAGCGGAGCCTGTTGTTTTTTTATTTTATTTTTCTAAGCTACGGTTAAATAAAAACTCGCGGAGATGCTTGTTTTTGGGAAAACTGTGACCTGTGTCATTGAGGCTTGCTTTTATTTTAATGGTGAAACAATAAATTTGATTATATTTATTTCATAGCAATGATTGGGTCCTCGGGTATTCTTAAAAGCTTACTGAATTTGAACAAGAAATGATCCTTTGTTCATGCTTTTTTTTTTAATGAAATTAGATAGCGTCCGGATGTCATAAATTTAAGCATCTCAAACTTAAAAAAATGCTCAGAGTTAGGTAATTCCATGAATTTTGTAACTAGCTTTTTTTTTAGATTCTGAATATTTCATCATCATGGAGGCGAACCAGCCGCAGACTGAATAAAGAAAACCCAACCTAACCTATTTCATCATCAGTAAAATCTCAGACATAGGAACCAAAATTAAATTATAGGAGTTTGAATTTGAAACCTGGTAAAATGCACACAGAATCAATTTCATACATTTAGGACTTAAACATGTTCAAGATTAAGATTTAATCGAAAAATATTGAAAATTCTAGTTATAATTAGTCATGATTCTGATATGCGAAAAGAAAAGAAAGTAATAAAGCATTTATTCAGAATATTTTCCCAACAAACAGTTTGAGCTGATTAAAAGCTGAAAAAGCAATTTTTCAACTCAAGAAGCTATTATTTGCCTGAATAAGCTCTTAAAGGGTGAACACGAAATTATTGCGACACCGAAAATGTCATGCCAATTTTCTTATAATGTTTAGAATCAAACCAAAATTTTAGGGTAGTTTTATACATATATTTACTTCAAAAATCAAAAGAAAAGTTAATCGATGGAGCCTTGAGTGTAAAATTGAACGCATTTTCGCTTGATGCCCTCCATCAAAGTCTTTACAGTGTCATCCGGTACCAGTTCTCAGTTTTTTTTCCATTTTCTTAACGTGTCGTTCTCGTCTTTGACTGTCTTCTTGCTCTTCCGAAGTTCCCGCTTCATTATTGCCCAGTACTGCTCCACCGGGCACAACTCCGGACAGTTTGGCGGATTCATGTCCTTTGGAACAAAATGGACAGAATTGGCCTCATACCACTCCAGGACACTTTTAAAATAGTGGCATGATGCCAAATCTGGCCAAAATAGCGGAGCTTCGTCGTGCTGCTGCAAGAACGGCAAAAGGCGCTTCTCGAGGCACTCAGATTTGTAGATCTCGCCATTTACTGTACCCTTTGTCACGAAAGGCTCACTCCTCAGTCCGCAAGAGCAGATGGCCTGCCAAATGAGATATTTGGAGGCGAACTTCGACATTTTCTTCTTCTTAAATTTGTCGTCCACATCGAACTTGCTCTTGCCGGTGAAAAACTCCAACCCCGGAATTTGCTTAAAATCGGCTTTTATATACGTTTCGTCGTCCATCACACAGCAGCCATATTTTGTCAGCATTTTCTCGTAGAGCTTCCGTGCCCGAGTTTTAGCCGTCGATTGTTGCCGCTCATCGTGGTTTGGGAAGTTCTGTACCTTGTTTGTATGTAGTCCAGCTCTCTTCTTTGCATTCTGGACGTAGCTCTGCGACATGCCGATCTTTTTAGCCAAACCACGGCTTGAGACGTTGGGATTTGCTTTAATCATCCGCTTCACCTTTCCCTCCGTCTTTTTGTTCTCCGGTCCCGGTTTTCTTCCAGCTCCTTTGCCGTGGTCCAACGTCAACCGCTCCTGGAACCGCTTCAACACTCTGGAGATGT